GTTGGGGAATGGTTCCTTTTGGGTGAGAGAGGGGCTTGACAAGGAACTTTGGGCAGAGGCCAGCGAAGTTTCTTTTCTTGGCCTTTATACATTAATTTTCTAAGGCGTTTTGTGTCTATATTTTAATACAATGAAAAGATACCTTTATTGAATCAATGGCCAAAGTGAAAGGGAAAAGTAGTAGCTACTTTGCTTCTAAATTCCTGCAGACAGCTTTATCAGATGAAAACATGCAAGTGACACCATTCCTTTAGTCATTCACAAAATACTAAACTCCAAGGTAGGTGCTCACATGGTGCTAGGGCCTGTGGCAACAAAGGTAGTGTAACCAAGTTTCTACTCTGAAGGATTTTAGTGTTTTTGTGCAGACAGATGTTTAAACAGATCAGCTACAGGGGCTGTGCCAACTGCTGTTAGAGAGGAAGGAACTGAGTACTGTGGGAAAAGGAAGAATAGCTGCCTGAAGATTGGGGGCGGCAGCACAGAGTAGCCTTGAGTTGGGTCTGCAGCAACACATTGCAGATAGGGAAAGGATTCTCCTGGCCCCAATCCCTGATGATGATCCACTGTACCTCTCCACCCCACAGCCATTATCAGAGCACCCAAATGCTTTGTGCTTGGAGTCACAGCTTCAGACAGAACATGGGCCTCCTATCCAGTAGGAGACCGATCTATTCACTCACCTCCTTGACTGACCCCCTAGACACCCCTGAGTCTCTGCTGATTATCCCTCACCCCATCCTTAGACCATTAGTATTTGGTCTCCAGATAGAGGCTTTGCTGTCCTTATTGTGGCCACGGAGTCCCAGTGTGTTCAGTGACATTTTTGTTATTCAGTTTGTCTAGTAGCACAAAATTAGAAAAAATCCAGTAAGCAATCAAGTGGGAAGGAGAGATGTTCCAGAAGGAAAGATGAGTAACTATGAAAGCGAGAGCGTGGCTAGTCCTCAGAACAGCTAAGGCATGGGTCTCCCTCATCCCTTCACCCACCTGGGAATGTGAACACAGCAGCCAGCCAGTCCTTCCTCCACATTTCTCTCATAGGGTCCTATTTCCATGAGATGCAGAATTAAAACCAAAGCTGTGATAAACTACAACTGCAAAACTCACTTTTATTAAGCTTAACACAAAAATAATAAAGAAAATATTTAATTAGATGATTATTTTATAAATGAGTTAATTTTTTTAAACCTAGGGAAAGTCTGTTTTGCTTTGTTTTGAATCACAACTTTTTTTTTTTTTTTTTTTTGAGATGGAGTTTTGCTCTTGTTGCCCAGGCTGGAGTGCAATGGCGCAGTCTCGGCTCACTGTGACCTCTGCCTCCCGGGTTCAAGCGATTCTCCTGCCTCAACCTCCTGAGTAGCTGGGATTACAGGTATACGCCATCACACCTGGCTAATTTTGTATTTTTAGTAGAGACAGGGTTTCTTTATGCTGGCCAGACTGGTCTCGAACTCCCAACCTAAGGTGATCTGCCTGCCTTGGCCTCCTAAAGTGCTGGGATTACAGGCATGACCCACCACGCCCAGCCTTGAATCACAGCTTTTAAAGTCCTAAATAAATAGGCTCTTTCTACTCAGGCAAGTTTCAGCTACTGGTTTCTGTGTAGGTTGTTCCCACACATCCTTTATCCCTGGCAGAAACACTCAGGAGAAAATAGGCTTGAATCAGACCTACTTACTGACCAGTGACCTCACTCCTCACCAAACGAAAAGGACAAAAATTCCTCTGTGCGGGCTTTCACTCTATTTAAACCTGAAGAGGCTCAGCTCTCTTCAGCAGTGCTGTTTACTGCCAAAGGGTGCATTTTGTTATCATGGAAGTATAAAGCAACTTAATTTAATGTTTTAAGTTAAATGAAATGTACCAAAAATTTACTATTAGAAAAAAAATAAGGGAACCTTACATTAATAAATAATTTTTTTTTTTAGTTGAAGTCTCACTTGGTCACCCATGCTGGAGTGCAGTAGCACAATCTTGGCTCACTACAGCGTCCACCTCCTGGGTTCAGGCGATTCTTCTGCCTCAGCCTCCCAAGTAGCTGGGTCTACAGGCATGTGCCACCACACCCAGCTAATTTTTAAAAATTTTTAGTAGAGATGAGGTTTCACCATCTTGGCCAGGCTGGTCTTGAACTCCTGACCTCGTGATCCACCTGCCTTGGCCTCCAAAGTGCTGGGATTACAGGCATGAGCCACCATGCCCAGCCAGTAAATAATTTTTTAAAAAATTATAGCTAGCCAGGTGTAGTAGCACACACCTGTAGTCCCAGCTATTCAGGAGGTTGAGGCAGGAGGCCTTGAGCCCAGGAGTTCAAGACCAGTTAGGACAACATAAGCAAGATGCCTTCTCTAAAAAAATTTAATTTAATTTAAATGAAAATTATAGCTCTTGAATTTTAGAGCTTTATGGAAGCTTAGAGAGAACTGTAAAGAGGAAGAAGAAAAGCAGAGGGGTTGGAAAGATCAAGAAATACAGAAATGAACAGATGGTTAAAAAGTGAGTCAGACACAGCAGAACAAAAGAACATGTAAATTACCCTTGTCTTATAATACTTTGTCTGCAAAGCTAGTTAGAGTTAATATTTAAAATGGTTCTTTCTTACACATAATTTTATTTGATCCATACAGGATCATGTCAAGTTGCCCTATCATGGCATGACAACTGAGTGGTTTCCATTGGTTCTGGCATTACTGCCTGACCTGGAAGCAGCATAGCCTCAGGTTCTTAAGATTCACATATACATTCTGGACTTAGAGAATCCACACATAGTCATTTAGTTTTCATACTTTTTTCCAGGTCCATACATTTTAAAGTTTGTAAGTCAGGGACTACCTGCACCTTTTAAAAATATAATTTATTCTGTCCCTTTATAGCAAAGGTTGTCAAATTGTCTCTAAGGATTTCCACGCTGTCCTAAATAAACGTGTTCAGGAGATGACAGGGCTCTAGGCATTTTTTTTTTTTTTTAATTGAGACTGAGTCTCTCTCTTTCACCCAGGCTAGAGTGCGTTGGCACAATCTTAGCTCACTGCAACCTCCGCCTCCTTGGTTCATTCAAGTGATTCTTGTGCCTCAGACTCCTAAGTGGCTGGGATTACAGGCATGTACCACCACGCCCAGCTAATTTTTGTGTTTTTAGTAGAGATGGGGTTTTGCCATGTTGGACAGACTGGTCTTGAACTACTGGCCTCAAGGATCCCCCACCTTGGCCTCCCAAAGTGCTGGATTACAGGTGTGAGGCACCGTGCCTGGCTGCTCTAGGCACTTCTTCAACTGTTTTATACATGGGCTTTCACATAGGTAGCAATTGTTTTGATAGGTGTTAGGATTAACTACTTTAAAGATATCTCACAGTCACAGAATTTTTGGTAAAAATATTACAATTCTATCAATTTTCTTCCCCAATTTTTACAGAATTTAAGAAAAATAAATCAGAATATCTAAAAGAAATGACATACCATTCTGTTAAAACTCTCTGAATCTTTGCTATGGGTAGATTTCCATTTCATGCAATTTCCTGTGAAATTAATGAGTTTTTTTCTTTATTTCACTGAAATGAATAAGGAGCATCAGTGTAATTATATAGACTCATTTGTACAAAAATGCCTCATTTGCATTTCATAAGATATCAGAGGTCTTTATTCAGTTTTCAACTTAACAGGCTGAAAGTAACTACCATAGATATGACTTAATCACTTAGTTTGCTTAGTTTTGAAACTTAGAATAATAATAGCAATTGCAGTTTAATAAAATCTTACAGACAATATTTATATTTCTCAGTTATTCTAAGAAATTTGTAAAGTTATTGAGTGAAAACTTTTATTGAATTTTTCATCCCTCCATGTATTTGAACTTGGAGGCAATGCTGAGAATGATATGTCTTCAAATTGGTAACCTGATAATCACCATACAACTCTTTTTACTTCTGAATCTTACACTAAAAAAGCGATTGCTTTCCACAAAATCTTGATCAGTCCAAACAAGGTTTCAGATTGAAATTTATTTAAAGATTACTAGAAATAAGCATAATTAATTTCCTTTCATCATCAACATTTTTAAACTACATGAAATGGAAAAGTACATGGAATTGAAATCTGCCCAAACATTTAGGTCCACACTTACGCCAGTTAATGTGGTAGGAAGCCCGGAGCTAAAGCTTCCAGGAGACAAGGTTCCTGCCTTCACATACTAGAGAAGAAATGCCATGTAAACAAATAAGTACATAGAGATTGTAAGGACTGTCCAAGAACTATGTGTAAGATGCTCGGGGGTCTGGGGAAAAGGTTAGGTCCACAGAAGACTTCTCAGAGGAGATGTTTGTTTGTTTGTTTGAGACAAAGTCTTGCTTTGTCACTAGGCTGGAGTGCAGTGGAACAATGTTGACTCACTGAAACCTCTGCCTCCTAGGTTCAAGCGATTCTCCTGCCTCAGCCTCCTGAGTAGCTGGGACTATAGGCATGCACTGCCACACCGAGCTAATTTTCGTATTTTTAGTAGAGACGGGTTTTCACAATGTTGGCCAGGATGGTCTCAATCTCTTGACTCGTGATCTGCCTGCCTCAGCCTCCCAAAGTGCTGGAATTACAGGGGTGATCAGAAGAATCACCTGGCTCAGAGGAGGTGTTTTTAATGAGCATGGTAGTAGTTTGAAGGAAATGCCAAAACAGCATAAGAAAGTTTGCTGACCTTTATTCTTAATTAGAATACTGTATATATTTCCTTGTACATTATTAATTTTCTTAGCACACTTGTTTATGGTAAAGACAAACTAAAGCTGAATGTTCAAATAGTTCTAATAAGGTTTTTCAGCTTATCTTTTTTAACAGCCCGTTTGAGAGTTTAAAAGTAATTTGAAGTAAATAGAATATTTACAGTTTGGAATGTATTGATAAATACGATTGAGATTGTCACCAAGGGTTCTATTTGTTCCTTAGATGTTACAATAAATTAAGATAATAGCAATGTGCTAATAACTTACTGATTATTGTCTTTCCTAGATGAAAACTTTTCAGTTCCTCATAATAAAAGAGGAGTTCTTGGAATGGCCAACAAAGGCCGCCACAGCAATGGGTCACAATTCTATATCACACTGCAAGCAACTCCTTATTTAGATAGAAAATTTGTGGCTTTTGGGTATGTATATTGTAGATTTGTCTATATAATGTTCACACATATAAAAATATTCAAAAATATTTGGATAAATATTGTATATAGTGTACGGGTAGCTAAAAATAGGGCTTAAATGCAAAAAATAATACAAATAGAGACAAAAGTATTTAAGAAATACTTTGCAAGAATTTCCCTATCTATAAAAACACAGAAACTGGTCAAGCACAGTGGCTCAGGCCTGTAATCTCAGCACTTTTGGAGGCTGAGGTAGGAGGATTGCTTGAGCCCAGGAATTCAAGACTAGCCTGGGCAACATAGCAAGACCCCATCTCTACAAAAAATTTTAAAATTAGCTGGCTAGGCATGGTGGCTCATGCCTGTAATCCCAGCACTTTGACAGGTCGAGGCAGGCGAATTACTTGAGGCGGGGAATTACTTGCACTCCAGCCTGGGTAACAAGAGTGAAACTCCGTCTCAAAAAAAAAAAAAAAAAAAATTAGCTGGACATGGTGGTGCATGCCCATAGTCCTGGCTACTCAGGAGGCTGAGGCAGGAGAATTGCTTGAACCTGGGAGGTGGAGGTTTCAGTGACTGAGATCGTACCACTGCACTCCAGCCTGGACAGCAGAGCAAGGCTGGGTCAAAATAAAATTAAATTAAATTAAAAAGTATTAGCCGGGTATGGTGGTGCATGCCTGTAGTCCCAGCTACTGAAGAAGCTGAGGTGAGGGTGTTGCTTGAGCCTGGGAGCCATGATTATGCCACTGCACTCCAGCCTGGGTAACAGAATGAGACTCTGTCTCAAAAATGTATATAAAACAAGGTTGGGCACAGTGTCTCACGCCTGTAATCCCAGCACTTTGGGCGGCCGAGGCAGGTGGATCATGAGGTCAGGAGTTCAAGACAAGCCTGGCCAAAATGGTGAAACCCATCTCTACTAAAAATACAAAAAATTAGCTGGGTGTGGTGGTGGGTACCTGTAATCCCAGCTACTCAGGAGGCTGAGACAGAGAATTGCTTGAACCCAGGAGGCGGAGGTTGCAGTGAGCCAAGATTATGCCATTGCACTCCAGCCTGGGCGACAGAGACTCTATCTCAAAAAAAAAAAAAAATACACACACACACACACACACACACGTAAAACAAAATAAAAACAGAAACCATTTAGGCATAGTCATGATAATGTTCTTTCTGTGTCTCTATTTATCCATCTGTTGATCTTCAGCCTTAAAGATATTATCAATTTGTAATTCCTATGAATCATACCACAGTGCTTAATAATATAGATATACTAATATGTAGCAGTGAAGAGGTGAAGTCATTTGAGTAATTGTCCGTGGACACCATAAAGAGGTAGATGAAAACTATTCGAGTTACATGTAACTTTTATTACTGAACTATTTTAAATATGGAAAAATCACAGGTAATCGTTATTATTAGAATATTATGCTTAAAGACATGTACCTAAAATGAATGATGGAAATACTTGTCATCACTCCAGTGTTTCATATCTCTCTTTAATTACTGAGTGAATATGAGGCAGGGCTTACTTTGTGTTCCCTAAAATAATGCAAAGTATTTGGGTTTTTCTGAATAACTTAGATTTATTCCAACCACTCCATAGGGATAATTATTGACTCTCCACCACCTGGAATTTCATGCCAGTGTTCATTTTAACCACAATAATTCCTTTAGTGTAATGCTTTCTATGATACTTCCAGGTTGAAAAATAGAAAGTATATTTTCAACTTCCAGGTTGAAAAATAGAAAGTGTATTTTCCAAGGCTATCTTTAAAGAAATAACATTACATTAATAGATGCATAGCCTAAAATAATGACTTGTCTTCAATTTTCCCTGGTCCCAAATGAATTGTATTCTGATTGTGAAAATGCATTGTTAAATTAGTTTTAGATTTGAATAACATTTCTTGGATCATTTAAATCTCTCTCATGTTGCTGACAGTCTCTATCCTCTACCAACCCTGGTGATCCTTTATATCTAAGCTAAAGACACCTTTCTCAAACACAAACATGACTACTTGAAAACTTTTAGTGCCTCCATTACCACTTCCACATCTGCTGAGCCTGATGTCTAGCATGGCATTCTAGGTGCTCCACTCTCTGGCCCCACATCTTTTTTCAACCCTCTCTTCTGCTGTTTTCCCAACTCATTCAAACAGAATTTTGTTAGGCACCTGTAGTATGCCATTCGTAATACTCAGTGCTGGGGAAAAAGTGACAAGGTACATTCCCTGCTCTTTAGGGAGCTTAGAGTATATTAGGAAAAACAGGTCAAATAACCAACAGCTATGTGACAGTGAGACATGGGCTATGCAAACTGTGTACAAGGTGCATTGGGAGATGGGAAAGAAAACACCCTCCAACACCTTTCATCAAAGGGAGCACAGAGCCTTACAGGGCCACAGTGGAGTGGAGAGCACTCAGTCTCCTTTTGATGATTCCAACTCTCTATGATCCACCTTCCTCTTGGGGAAATCTCTAATTTTTGTTATTATCACTGTAGCCTCTGGGAGGCACTGCCCCTCTTCTTTTCTGCCTCAAGTATAATCTGAGTGTATTCCTTAAATCTCTAAATTGAAAAAAAAAAAGAAGGTCTCTAAATCACAGTTGAGGCTCAGCTAGAATATTTAAACAAGACCTTATAGAATGCTAAGGGAGAAGCAGAAAGGTAAAATATAATAGGCAACTAGATAATCTAGTTAAATTAATGAAATAGAAGTCCTTCAGAGGTATCTTCCTTTCCAGCTGTAGTGCTGCCTCTTCCCTATCATCTCTCAGTTTCCCTAGATGTGTCTGAGCTTTTGGAAGCCCAGACATGGTTAGCAAGGTCCAGAGAGATGCAGAAATTTCCTTTGATCCAAGACAGACACTCCTTCCAAGCCATTTTCAGGTACATGAACCTGCCGCTCCCTCAGATGGATGACACTGGGAATGTCCTTCAGGAAAGACCGTAGCAATCCACAGAGCATGGCCTGGCCCAGTGGTCTCATAGAGAAAGAATATCACAAAACAAGCCTGTAAGCTCTCCATTCATGCGCACACATGGTAGAAGGGGTGCTAGTGGGAGGGGGAATTATTTCATTTTAAGAGACTTGTAAGGTGGGAGGGGGTCATGGAAAGTTTCATAAGAAGACGAGCTAAGGGGCGAAAAGTCAAGTAGAAATTCGCCAGATAGAGAAGCTAGAAATCAGAATGAATCAAATCAATTTTAGTGTGAAGAGGTTTCACAGAGAGGTCCTGAGGAGTACAAGAGCATCTTATCTACAAGCCATCTGGTCTGGACAAGGCTTAGTGCCCAGGGGAGAATGGAGAGGGTAGAGGCTGGATAAGAGGGTCAGCCAGGGCCCAGTTCCCAATGGGCCACAGGTGCCATGCTGCTGAGCATGAGCCTCACCCAAGGGTGATAGGGGCCATGGGAGAATTTTACATTGTGAGCAACATACCCAGCTTATCATTTTTGAAGGAAAAAAAGGAATGAATTGGTAAAGGATGAAAAAGAACTAGCAAGACCACTTAAGAATCTATGGTTATAATAGGCCATAAATGAAGTCCTACTCAAAAGCACCAGCAGTACAGATGAACAGGCGATAAGTGGACAAACTCAAGACATTGAGAATGTAGAGTCGAGGGCAAGGGCCTGAGCAGAGTCCAGGCCAGCACTGTCCAGTAGAACGCTCTGTGATGACGGAAATGTCCAGCCCAGTATGATAGCCACTGGCCACACGTGGGCACTGGGTACTTGAAATGTGGCTAGTGTGACTGAGGAACTATATTTCATTCTAATGAAAGTGTTTTTGTTTTGTTTAGTTTTGTTTTTTGACAAGGTTTTGCTCTGTTACCCAGGCTGGAGTGCAGTGGTGCAATCTCAGCTCACTCAACCTCTGCTTCCTGGGTTCAAGCAATTCTCATGCCTCAGCCTCCCAAGTAGCTGGGATTACAGGCATGTACCACCACGCCCAGCTAATTTTTGTATTTTTAGTAGAGATAGGGTTTCACCATGTTGGCCAAGCTAGTCTTGAACTCCTGACCTCAAGTGAGCCACCCACCTCAGCCTCCCAAAGTGCTGGAATTACAGGTGTGAGCCACTGCAACTCCCAGCCTATAATTAAGTTTAAATAGCCACATGTGGCTAGTGACGACCATACTGGAGAGTGAAAGTCTAGAGTAACTCCTAGGATTTGGGAACTGGTTAGATGGGTGGTACCATTCACCAAGATAGAGAATAGAAGGAGGAGGATTTGAAAGAGAAGATCATGAGTTCAGGTTGGACAAGTTTCATAATAGGATACCTGTAGGATAGCCAGTTGGTGGCATCCCAGGAGGTGGATATTCAAGCTGGGTCAGAGCTGGAGGTATAATTTGGAAGTAATTTGTAGACTGGCAGCTTCAGCCAGACCATAGTACCATCACCCCAAGAACCATCTCTGTGCCTTTGCTTACCTTTCTTGTTGGAGAACAGGCTTCATACTCTATTTGGACAGAAATGAATCTATTTATCCTCTACTCTTCATCCTCAGAATGTACCTTGTGTTTCCCTGTATGGTGGTTTCTGATTGGGATGGCAAAAATAGAGCCCAAAGGCAAAGATAGGGCTAAAGTACAGTTGGTGTCAGCACTGACCACGCCCCCTAAAGGCTCACCTTCCCCTCGGCCACTGTCCCAGCCTAAGCATTGGCAGAGGGCACCAGTCCTATGTCTTGGCCTGTCTCTCTGCCCTCTTTTCATGGAAAGAACCATCAGAAGTCTAGCTCCACTCCCCAGGAAGTTCTAGCCCATGGCCAGCAAGTGCCTACAGAGATCTAAACTAGTACGGCTTTTTTTTTTTTGGAGATGAGTCTCACTCTATGGCCCAGGCTGAGTACAGTGGTGCAAACTCAGCTCACTGCATCCTCCACCTCCTGGGTTGAAGCAATTCTCCTGCCTCAGCCTCCCGAGCAGCTTGGATTACAGGCATGTACCACCAAGCCTGGCTAATTTTTGGTATTTTAATAGAGTTGGGGTTTCACTGTGTTACCCCCAGGCTGGTCTCGAACTCCTGAGCTCAGTCAATCTGCCTGCCTTGGCCTCCCAAAGTGCTGGGATTACAGGCTTGAGCCACCACATCCAGCCTAAACTAGCGTGGCTTTGAGCTGTCTTTTATTCATGTACTCAGTGGATGTTGTCAGGTACCTGGTATGTGCTAGGCATTATGCTAGGCACTGAGCCTGAGCACACACATGATCCCTGCCATCATGGGAGAATCAGAAATCAATCAAAGAAGCATACAAACAAATGTAAGCTTGCAACCCTGGGAACTTTTCTAAAGGAGAGAGAGGGAACATAAGCAAGGTGTCCTGGGAAACTTCCCTGAATAAGTGATGACTGAGCTGAGGTCTGAAGGAAGACCAGGAGGTGACCATGCCAACCCATAGGGGTTGGGGAGTAATGGAGGAGGTGTGGAAGGGAACATGGAACTCTTGAGGTACTGAAAGCCAGTCTGGCTGGAGCAGAGACCACCCAAGAGGCCATGGGAGATAGACTGTGCAGGCCCTGGTAGGCAATGACAGGGATTTTTTGGTCTTTATCATAAGGATACTGGGAAATTATGGTCGTATTTTGAACAAGAAGGTGACCACAGATTTCTAGTTCTAAAAGATCATGCTGGCCAGGTATGGTGGCTCACACCGATAATCCCAGCACTTTGCAAGATCAAAGTGGAAGAACTGCTTGAGGCCAGGAGTTCAAGACCAGCCTGGGCAACATAGCAAGATCCCATCTGTACAAAAATAAATAAATAAAAATATTGGCCAGGCATAGCAACACACACCTATAAGCCCTGGCTACTCAGGAACCTGAGGCAGGAAGATCACTTGAGCCAGGAGGTCAAGGCTATAGTGAGCTAAGATCATGCCACATCACTCCAGCCTGGGCAACAGCATGAGACCCTGTCTCAAAAAAAAAAAAAAAATCACCCTGACTGCAGGGAGGAGAACAGAGGGGAGGGTGCCAAGCAGATGGAGGAAGCAAGCTTGGAGCCAAGGCAAGAGGGCCGGCTGTCTGGATGATGGCCCTGGGTACTGTAGGTGTGGCAAAGTGGACACATCCAGAGAGGTTTAGGATACTTGGGGCTGATGTTCATTTAATTTTTAGGAAATAGTCTTAGCTATAGCTACGTAGGACTCCATTTTGGAATGTAAGTTAAATGTGAAACTTTATGACTGACTATATTTTCCATTTTTTTCCTCCTATGTAGGCAATTGATTGAAGGAACAGAAGTGCTTAAACAACTAGAATTAGTTCCAACACAGAATGAAAGACCAATACCTATGTGTAGAATTATTGACAGTGGAGATCCTTATGCTTGATTTTCATATCAGTATTTTCTGTGATAATGTATTACTTTGTATCTGATCAGCTATTTGTAGATTTAATTAAACAGTACTTGATAAAATATAAAATGAAAGCCTTGGCAGACACTGTAGGTTGCCTCATCTACACCCGTCTCTCCCCATCTTCCTTTCCTGCCTCTCTCACAGAGACTGTGAAAGGGGAATACTCAATTTCCTAGCCTGCTTCGCAGCCAGGGGTGGCCATGAGAGATGGTTCTGGCCAACGAAGACAGGAGTAGAATGCCAGTGGTCCTGCCCCTTCCCCTTCGTCCGGTCTGGAATGTGGAGAGGCTGGAGCTGCAGCTGTGGCCTTGAGGCCATAAAGAAAAGGCGAAGTACTGCAGAGATGTCAGCACCAGTCTCTTGTGCTGCACAACCAATCCCAGGAACTACCTGCTCTGGACTTCTTAGTATATGAGACTAACAGACCCCTGTGTTGTTTATGTTACTGTTGGTTGATAAGTTTGTTACTTGTAGACAAAAGGATTCTTAATTGAGCAACATACCTGATAGCCTAAGACATCTGTAATAGAATTTGGTTCTTGTTTGGTAAGGAACCAAATAGGAATGATGCAGAAGAAAAAGCAATTCATTGTAATATCTCATTGTTTATACATAGCATTCAGAAAGGTTATCTACACTTTGTGGATGTTTTTGTATATGACATGAGCATCATCCTTCTCTCTCTGAGCCATACCAACCCTATGAAAACCAAGGGCTGTGTTACAGTCCCCATGGTGGCTGACTCATGTGATGTTATTGGAGATCCAGCTTTATCAGCTACTCTGGAATCTAAAGTTCTCAAGCTCATGTCACCTGGGGAGACTTTTAAATGTAACCTAATAGACCTTGTCCTTGACCTACTGAGGCAGAGTTCCCAGGCATGGGGCAGAGATTCTGTGTTCATTTAGCGCTTTCCCCAGGGTTCCCATTTAGGACACTAGTCACCTGGGAATCACTGCAAGGCATAAGGAACTGCTTCCAGCCCCCATGGTGTAGTGTAATCAGGAGAGTGCTTGACTCTGCTATTGGTAACCTTGCTCAGCTCCTGTTAAACACCACTACCCTGTGCCCCTGCTCTGCCCAGACTGAGTGCTTTCCTTACCCTAAACAGAATGAGGTTTGTCGTCCAAGAATGATCTCCATTTACATCCGTCTTAAAGGGGCAGGCCTCTAATGGATATGGGGCTTGCCAAAAGTAAGCATAGGGTTTTGGTTTTTTTTTTTACTTTTTATTTTGACATAATTATAGATTCACAGGAAGTTGCAAAAATAGTCCAGAGCAGTCCTGTGTACCTTTCACCCATTTTCCCTAGTGGTTACACTTATAAAATGGTAGTACAATATCAAAACCAGGCAATTGATGTTGATACAATGTATGTGATACCTTTTTATCATGAGTATATTCATGTAACCAACACCCAAAAGAGAATACAGAACTTTTCCAGCACCACAAAGACCCCCTTTCAGTATGCCTTTATAGTCACACCCACTCCCCTGCCCCTGCCATTCCTGACTACTGACAATTGGCATTTGCTTTTGTTTAATGACAGCTTTATTGCTATATGACATATGCTATATGCTAAGACCTAAGGTGGATGGAAGGAAGCAGACCGCCTATGTTACATTCTCAACTGACCCAGAGCAGCATAGTGTTAGGAATGTGTGTTCTAGAGTCAAACTACTAGGGTTTGAATCCTGGCTCTGCCATTCCCTAGCTGCACAAACACAGGCAATAACTTTTCTGTGTGTCAATTTCTTCATCCGAGAAACTTACCACGTAGTCGTGAGGGTTCCATGAATCAATAATTTGTATAAAGAACCTAGAAGAGGACCTGGTCTACTGTAAGTGCACGATAAATTTTATACTCAATAAATTACTAATGTGTAACCTTCAGGGTGTAGCCTCAGAGCTTGGGCGTTTTGAAAGCTCTCCAGTGACTCTGAAACCCAGATTTGAGAAACCCTGAGGAGAGTCTCCCGCTTCCTATACTCACAGACTTCTGGGCAGTCTGAGAACTCGGGTGATTCTACAGCCTCCAGACCCTCTCGCTGGGCCTTTGGCGGGGTCCCTCAGGTCACACTGGGGGCATCTCAGACAAAAGGGAGCTCAGCTTGCTACCAGGATTCAAAACAAATGGTGAATGAAAATTGATGCTTTGCAAGGAGCCCAGTTAAAACACATGACAAGCGTTGCTCATGTAATAACAAGCAGCAGGGCAGTTCTTACTGGTGATGAACCTATATATTAATGGCATTAGGCATTTTATCTGATGTTGTGAAAGAACTGGGACATTTGCGTGGGTGTAAGAAACTGATTCCAGCTCCCCTGGTTAGCAGCAGTAAAAAGGTAGAATTCTGCCAGTCTTCTCAAAGATGGTGAGTTCGTGGTCCCTTTGTTCACTCTAACTTTCCAATTCTGGGCTATAGAAACCTCAACCACAGATCTATCTATGCAGTGGTTCTTATCAGCACCACTTTATAGTATACACACTGATTCTTCTGCGCTAGAATGATTTGTATGTTTAACCTCATAGTTGAAGAAACTGTTACATGGACTCAGAAGTTTACTCCAGTGAACTCCACATGTAAGACTTTGATTTAATCAAATTGAAAGAATTTAATTAAACAGAAGGGATTCTGGATTTCTCCACATCTACAAATAAGACCATAAAGTCCTTTTGATGATTTACACAAAATGCTAAGTTATGTGTCTAAACTTGCGCTAACTGCTGATATGGCAAAGTCAAGTACATATGCTGTATACTAGTCCATGTGAATAAGGGAGTGCATAGCTAAACATTTTTCTTATATGGGGAGATTTGAGGTAAATGTTTAAAATTTTATCCAAGGAATTTGTTTGCCCCAACTGCAAACAGTGCCAGTTATTTGTTAAGGAATGGATAGTCTGGCAACCTCAGGATTCTAGATCCTGAGTTTTTATACTTTATAGATATTTTAAATGAAGCATATTTGTTTTAGAACCACTTGTCCAACAATGTGATGGTCAAATCACTTAACCTTTCACTGTCCTCATTTGTAAAAATAACAGAACTTGAATTGCTAGCTTTCTTCTGGCTCTAAAACTTTAGTGATTTTTCTGAGTAAATATATAAATCAATAATTTCATAAGTGAAAAAGGGGTACATCTGTCTTACAGTGTTCTGAGGATTGAGACAGCAGGTGAAGGTGCTTCTACTAATGCTTGGTGCACAGCAGATACTCTGTAAGAAATAGTTTCCCTTCTGAAACATCTCCCTGCAAAAACCAATCTACCACTGAAAGAATATCATCATCATTTCAAGAAATATCAATCCCTTTTTATACTGAGTGTTAGCAGTTCTCACATCAGATTAACTTTCAATCAACCGAACTAGTTCAAAGGTATATCTTTAAAAATAAGATGAATCTCTACCACACCTAGCAATATTCTCTCTTATGGAGACTCATTTTTTAAACTATATTGATCTTACTATCTCCTGTACTTCCCAAAGTGGAATCACCACCACTTAAATCTGGCAAGTCTTAAGACTTTCATATATAATACAAAATATTGCTGACAAACTCAGTAGTAATAGATACAACATGAATTACAAGTTTCATATTTGATACACGGCTTTGTAAGTATGGTGACAAATCACAGGTTCACCCAGGCTGGAGTGCAGTGGCACAGTCTTGGCTCACTGCAACTTCCACCTCCTGGGTTCAACCAATTCTCCTGCCTCAGCCTCCCAAGTAGCTGGAATTACAGGTGCCCACTACCATGCCCAACTGATTTTTGTACTTTTAGCAGAGACAGGGTTTTGCCATGTTGGCCAGGCTGGTCTTGAACTCCTGACATCAGGTAATCCGCCGCCTCATCCTCCCAAAGTGCTAGGGCATGAGCCACTGCACCCAGCCATACTCCAACTTTAATACTATACACATGGACATATCTTCTGGGAATCTTGTTAAAATGTAGGTTCTGATTCAGGAGATCTGATGGGGAGGCCTGAGATTCTGCATTTCTAGGTGATACAAATGATACTGGTTTGAGAACCACATTCTAGGAAGCACGAGTAAAGCACTGGATTGCCGCCTAAGCTGCAGATTAGAAACACCTGGGAAGCTTTTAAAACTGATGGCCAGACGTTACTCCAGACTAATTAAATTGGTATCCAGGCATTCATTTCAGTATTTTTCAACACTCACCACCACCGCCGCTGCCACCAGCTAGTTCCAATGTGCAGCCAAGGTTAAGAACAACTGTTCTAAAGTATAATGTTCCTCCTCTGGAACCCTGGCACACTTTTCAAAGAAACATCCATAGTCAAAGTGGAGAGCCTCCTAATGAGAGTATCCCTAGAATTTCACACTCAATCTTAATCACAGTATTAAGAATCTGAATATACAGTTTTAGCTTACTATTAATATTTGATTTGTTCCAGTCCTTCTCTGTCAAAACTGATTCAAATACTACTAAACAAGCTTTAATATACGCTGTTAAAACTATCTTTTTAGATGCCAGCCCTTACTTCCCACCTATACCCCTCTAGATGAATCTGCCCTGACCCACAGCTGAAGAGGGGCTGTGCTCAGGGAGCTGTTTGTAGCATCTGCCCTCCTGCACTTTTATTTTATTTTTGAGGCGGTGTCTCACTCTGTTGCCCAGGTTGCAGTGCAGTGGTACAATCTCCGCTCACTGCAACCTCTCCCTCCCAGGTTCAATCCATTCTTCTGCCTCGGCCTCCCAAATAACTGGTATTATAGGTGCCTGCCACCATGCCAGGCTCCTCCTGTGCTTTTCAATGCAGCTATTTTTGGCAAGGGTGGACAACTGACTGAAATAAGCCAGTTTGTTCATTTATTCATTATTTTAAAAAAATATTAAGTGCAGAGAATAAACTGGTGAGCACTGCCTCTATTCTGAGTTAATCTAGCAAGAAAGACAATTGCTATGTAATATAGTATATGCTTTGTTACAGACAAGTCCAGGGTGCACAGAGCAGAAACACCTTTTGTAGTCTAGGAGTGGGGAGAAAGGGGTAGTTGAATATTTTAAGGACAGCTTCAGATGAGAGTGACAGCTTAGCTGAGAGACCTGAAAGGAGAAGTAGGTGTTGGTCAGATGCCAGAAGGGAATAAGAATGGTCTAGGCAGAAGAAATTGCATGGATGAAGATCCAGATGCAAAAGAAAACAAGACCTGTTAGGAGAATTGAGAGTTCAGGGAGCTCTAGTGTAGACTTCATGGATGGAAACAGACATGCTGGGAAGGCATGGGTATGTCGGTCAAGTTATCTCTTTTAAGAGCTGTAACTGGAATACTGGGCAATGGAGATGATTGGCTTTGGGGATGTAGATCTGGCAATGTCACGTAGGGTTGAAGCCTGAAACGAAGTCCTAGCAAACCAGGTCCACATGCTAGGGATTCCTCCTTTTAAGTTCAGGTCTTCCTTGGTTCTCCCATACTTGATTTCCCACTGCTGAATGCCTATATAATTTATTGTATATTCTTATGAGGAAGGAGACCTAAGCATCTAAGACCACCTCCCCCTTGACTTCCACATTGCATTTCAATAGAAGAAGTAAAGGCTGGCAGACTGGGAGCCACCTTAACTGCCCTCCTATAAGTAACAGGCATGGTATGGAGGAATCTTTCCAGAAGGCATTGTTTTTATTTAAACAGGATCAAACCCCCACCTAAGCCACATACCCCATGCCTACTCCATGGACCAAAACCCTTTCACGTGTAATTTCTAGAGTTGTAAGCCTTTATAAGGACAGGGATTTTCTTTGTTCAAGGGCTTGGCTAGTTGGGGCATTCAGATCTGCCACAGCCCCCAGCCAAATAAATCACTACTTCCTTCAGTTTGTTTTGTGGCCTTTCCTGCTTTACTTACAATGAATGGATTCCCTTTAACATAAGCTAGTACAAGAGGGGTTGTACTTCTTGCTATCAAGCAGTGGAGCCAAACCTCTGATTATTAAGGGGCCACTGGAGGTTAATTATACCTACAGCTAGAAGGCAGGGTCCTGTTAGGAGTGTTGGTCTGTTTATTTGGGGATATTGACAGAACGCTGAAGTATTTTTTTAAAATTTACTGTTTAAAAAACTTGGAGCTTATACTTTAGAAGATTCATAAGAGCAGAAGCACTCTGTCTGCCTTCAAAAAAATAAATGGTTAAGAAGGTCGCTTTAACAACCAATCAATCTAATTGCAAGCAAAGTGTCTTAGAGGAAATAATCTGACCTATGGCTGACCTTGCAGACAGAACGCTCTTGACAGTGCTTTTCAACTGCTTTTTTTTTTTTTAATTTAACAATACTGGGAGATATTTTTGGTTGTCACAACTGAGAGGCGGGGTGCTTCTGTCATCTAGTGGGTAGAGGCTAGGAATGCTGCTGAACATCCAACAATGCACGGGACAAGCAGGAATGAGTCAGCCCCAAATCTCGATAGTGCCAAGATTGAGAAACCCTGCTCCATGACAACAATAAACAGAGCTTTACTCTTTCAGGAACTGAAAACAAAAGTTATTTCTCTGCGATGGTGAAAATGACTTTGGAACTCTCTTGATCTACGTCTACAGTTGCCACGCAAAGTCAGTCAATGGTTTTCTAGTCTTAAAACAAGAGGGGTGAAGTATCCCTTCATCAGGACAGAGGAATATCTGAGGACTAGAGTTGAACATCCAGGTGACAAATTGTTAAACAATGGTCTCCACAGAGGGGTGTGTTTATCCTAGGGTGGAAAGAAGTTAAGGCACCAGGGCTTTGAGAGCAGAGCCTTATTTACATTCTCAACCTTAAAAAAAAAAATTAAAGTTGCCTTGTGACTCCATTTGGTCTGGGTGCCAGATAGTCAAGTATTAAATATAGTGAGAGGCCTCCTGAGAGAAGAGCAGATATTTCTTTCTTTGAAGGGCTGATGGTGGGAACTCACTTCCTTGACGGTGTTCTCATGCTTCTGGCCATGGGCTGGATCAGTCAAAACTGTCAGGTTTTGTTTACATCCAAGCAACACTACTCCAACTAGTGTAGTCCTTGGAACAAATGTTCATAGTCATGAGGATACAGAAAGATGACAATGATTAGATTCCAAGGGTAAATAAAAGCTTTCCATTTGAGCAAAAAGGTAAAACACTATGCAGTCATCTTTTTTTGGTGTTCGTGGCAAATCATAACAGACCTCACAAAAGCAACTAATATTCCTATATTAGGATAACTTTGCATTATTAAAATTACGTAAGTGTACAACAGTTGGAAATACGGCATTAAATACAACTTTTAATGTTGTATTTAGACTTTTAAATACAACAATTAGACTTTTAAAGTCTAATTTTTAGCATGTGATAACCATATCGAATTTTGCGAATATTTTGTGAGACTTGGCATTAGATGGCGCTCACCCTTACTAAAAGCCTGAGCAGTGCTTGAACACTAACAGGCACTCAAAAATCCATCTCTGATGCCAGGCAATCCCGTGTACAGGTCAGGTCACTTTTCTAGGTCTCAATTTCCTCACTGGTAATATGGGAGTGGAAGCCGCCCCAATAGCCTCGCAATTCAAGACAGCTTTTGATTCTCTGACTACAGTGGTGGAGTTGAGACAAATCGGCTCCTGCAACCGCCTCCTGAAATAGCAACTCGGAAAAGTCAGACTGGGAAAGTAA